TATATATATTTATGGAAAAGTTCGATTTTTTAAAATATAAAAAGATTAGGAAAATCTCCACAAAACTTCAATCATTTTGGGAAAATTCATGATTAAGTCTCTTAAACCAAATCGTTAATGTCTTCACTTTAGCTATTTTTAACATGTTTAGCAAGTAATAGTACCAAATTGTTAATATTTTTTAAATAATGAGACTTTAATGCATATTTCCTCAAAATTAGAATATAATGTATAAATGTACTTTTTTCGTATGCTTGCGTATTTTTATATATTTTTTAAGCATTTATGTATTTTTTAAGTTTGTATATATATTTTTACGTATTTTAATATATTTTAAATGTATAAATATATTTGAAGTATTTATGTATTTTTTAAGTTTTTTTATAAAACTGTTTTTGTATTTTAAATGTATAAACGTATTTTTTTATGTATTTTATCTTTTTTATTTATTAATGAGAAAATATCTTTAGATAAATTGTTATTAATCTAAATCTGTAAACATAAACATCATGGTTAGAAAACTTATATTTCGTTGCCAAGAAGTCGGGTTCTTAAATTAATTAGAAAAACATGCTAGTTTATAAGTTAATTATTCGTTGATCTAATTTATACTCAAATTGTTTTTTTAAAAACATATGGAACACTTTTTTTTAAGATTTAAACATTTAGTTCATTTTTTTATGGTTATAATTAGGATAATCTCTAGAAAGTCGGCATTTCATTCAAATATCACTACTTCTTCGAGTATGTCTGAATGGTTCACTGCATACCCACATATTTTAAGTTTTTCTCATTCGTTTATCTTGAAATTAAACAATAAATTAAAAAACAAAATAATAATTTATGCACATGCGAAAACTTTGGGTTCCTTTGAAGCCACATGAGACTGGTGAAGCTGTCAACTTTTTCTAGGACGTAAGGTGTGTCGATCATCATGCTTTCGTAGAGCGGCATGAATGGGTCTAAAACCATTTCTTTTAAAGTGCACCCATAACTGATTTTTGTTTCGTAGAAAACATAAAACAAATAGAAAAGCAACAATCTGACCGAACAAATTTTTCTTCATTTACAAGTTTTAATGGTTAGCTTACATTCAAACTTGAAATAAAAATACATAAATACATAATATATATATATATA